AACAACAACAACAACAACAACAACAACAACAACAACAACAACAACAACAACAACAACAACAACAACAACAACAACAACAACAACAACAACATTGTACACAAGAAGAATGCTAGTAGTAATGATTATATACCAGGAATGTACCACTCTAGTAGTAGGAAGAAACCAGCAGAAGAAAATATAAGAGAGTTATCGTAGCAGCAGAGGAACAAATAGTGGAAAGGTACCTATCCTTTGCTTGTACACCAAAGTGGTGTGGTAATAGAAGAATAAGTACTTTGTAGTATTATCCACCTTATTGTCCAAGATGTCACAAAGATCATTGTTGAATGTTGTTGAGTGGTGTGGTGTCTTTTGCATGTAGTAGATCTAATTTTTTTGTCGCTATCTTACCACCTCCAGCACTGAAATGCATTGTATACAACCAGGACAAACCTGGGTTTGTGAGTCCTTTAGGGCGGTGAAGTACACTGCTGGTGGTGAGTAGAGGAGGGAGGAAAGCATTCCTGTACAATGGTGTCACGGCATTCTCCTAACATCCATGCTGGATATTTCATTCCTTTCAAATTTTCCTCCTACTCCTATTTCAACTGGTTATGATCCCTGCTATACTACATCATTCTACCTTGAAAAGGGAGCATGTGGCATGACTTTCTTGGTGGGGAGGGTCACTTGTACTCCTGTAGATGGCTTGCAATAAGAATCAAAATGTCCCAGTTCATTGTTGTGATCCAGGATATTTGAAGGATCCCACACTTTACCTTGCAAAAAATAAGAAAGAATTTCAAACTATGACGTAGACTGGGGAAGCAAATGTACAGTCTAGACTATTCCTTTTAGGCCCTTATTTTATTGTTTAGGAGGAGTCACCAAGGAAGAAGCTTGGGTAGTTCTTGTTGTTAATTTGTGTGCTTGGTGTTGTTTTGTTGCTGGTTTGCTTCTTGGTTGGTGTTTTCTGTTCCATGAGTTGTAATTGTACTGCTGATGTATTCAGCAATTTGGCAATTTTTGTTAGGAGCCATTAGAGGTTTTAGTGATGGTACTGTAGGATTCAGTACTGTAACTCATATACTAGWTTTTTTTACTCAAGCTGCAGTTTGCACAGGTTACTATAGGTTAAGGARAGTATTGCATGGAAACTCTTGAAAAAGGGCAGGGCAAGAAGGCAGAGGTGGAAAAAAGTCAAACAAAAACAAATGAAATGTTCTTCTTGAGGACATGTAATGATACTGCAATATCATACTTATAATTTTTTTGTTTCCTAAACTTTCAAGTTGACACCAATAGTACTAGCACTTGTTACTATAGTACAGGTCATACTAATTGCCCTACTACTTCCTGATGAAAAGAATGAGGAAGATTTGTTGCCTATGCCCATGACAACTCCTCACTCATTTGTGATTACAGTTGTTGGATACATATTGTCTTCAGTAGATACTTCTTCTTCTTCTTCTACAAACATAACAAATTTTCCATACTAATATTACGACTCTTTATTAGTACTAGTAGTATCTCTAACCTCACAACACCACCAAGGTGTACGACTAGGTGGTATCCAGTCCCTTTTGGCCAGCTTTCTCTTTTTCATTTCTTACCTAGTACTTGGTGGCATTGATACTAGTCTCTCTTCTCAATCCAAACCAAGCAGAGGTATTAGTACAGTCATTAAAGCACCAGTATCTCAAGATGACTTGTTTCCCATCAGCATCTCTCCCTCTTCTTGTTACAAGTACTTCTAGCTACTACTGGTAGTAGGAGATTTTTAAAAAAATGGGTAGTAAGTATTCTGGAAAAAACATTGTGGCAGCATGTGAGAGGGTGCAATCACTTTTTGTGATGCAAGCAAGCCAGCCAGCCCTGGAGGTTTGGAATTGTCTTTAACTTGCCAGCACTGGAATTGTACTTACTACTACTAGTAGTAGCTCTAATCTGTAGAGTCTGGTATACTTTCTACATTAAAAAWTGTATTTTTGGGGGGGTTAATAGGCCATTCCATTTATTATAGAATTGCTACTACTACTTTTGATAGACTGACAGACTGGAAATTTAGCACATCTAATTACAAAATATATTACTTTTGATAGCGGTCAAATTGGTGCTATCATAGTATGTAATAAATTTTATTATGGAACTCATGAATAAGTCCAAAGGACTCAACATATTCCTCTGATTAGTCCTTAGTATGCTGAAGTATTATTTAAAATTCCAGGTTCCCAAAAAGTGCCAGCATTCCTCTCAGTCTGTCCGTTGAGGAAATTTTGATTGTTGTACAGTAGTAGTAGTAGTACTACTACTACTACTAGTACTAGTAGTAGTAATACTAGTAGAAGTAATAAATGTTCTAAATTTACCGGTTTTGCACATCTATGAATGGGAATGGCCTTTGATAAAGCTGTAACTGCTTAAAGGTTGGATAGTTTTACTAGTGTTGTGCAGTAAAAATGAGAATTAAATATAATCCTGGGGTGACCTTTTGGAAATTTGGACCACATGTGGATTATGAGTTTCTCTTTTTTTCTCACACTTRGTGATGGACAGAAAATTTTAATGCGCACCCCTCTATTATGACCCCATTCCTTGCTCTGTCCGACAACGACGAAATAGTGGTACCGGTATACTCCTTTCTGTCGTATGAATAAACCGTTGAGAACGGCGACGAACAGTGAGCTGCCCTGGAGATAAGATGTGATACTGTATAACTGTATTGCAAAACAACTGGTGTATCCACAACTGTAGTATCCACAACYTTAGTATCCACAACCTGGGCATCCAGAACTTGAACAGCCACAACTTCCCCCCTCGCCATGAGATTACCAAAAGCGTCCCAGAGTACTTCCGAAGTGTCGGACAGGAGTTCTCTCAGGTTTCATCTGAATGGTAACATATATCCTGCGTTGGTCATCACGTGCCTAGTCCTTCGTTTTGCGGTTCTAAACTTTGAGTCGGGGTTGTCGGAGTACTCGAGAGCCGCCTCGAATGTAGTGAAGTTCGACGATCGAAACACCACCCACGGACCACCTGTCTCTTCCCGGCATATTTACCGATCCGCCAATGMCACCGCGTACACATGGCAAGGAAATATCTGGATCCCCCCCCTCGGAGTTCCCCATTATACCGGGGCCGCAGTGCGGTGCCTGTTTCGTTCCGAAAACACGATCTGGGTGGGAGATTCCACCATTCGGCAGGAGTACCACACCCTGCGGTCGTTCCTCGAGGCCGCGAATCCAGGCAACATTGAAGCCTCGGAGTTTGTTGATGGTGCCTTCAATCCCAACTTGGGCCACAAAATACCGTTCCTTTTCACCGCGCGGCACGGAGTGTCCGGATCCGGGGACCGGTGCCTCCGTGTCCGACCAAAGGGCCCCTCGGAGGATCCGAACGCGACTCTGGCCATCGCAACCTACAACCAAGATCCTTCCAAACACTCCGAAGACTGCATCAGCACGGGACGGAACGACCTGTATCGCCTCAACTGCTACCGGGAKGGAATCCAATGGATTGACCAGGATCTCCGCAAACCACASTACAAACACGGACTCCGGTCCTGGTTCTCCCTTGCGATCATTTCGCTCGGCGTGTGGGACACCGATCCGGGGAATAGGGACAAGTGCGCCTCGCTCGACCGCCTCGAGGAGYTCCTCGGTAAGATTGAAAAGGAGGTTTCTGGGCCGGACCTCTTTGTGATCTGGCAGGCCCACGCCCCCGCCTCGTACGAGGGCCCAACCAATGGCGCGGAGGCACTTTCCCTGGGAAACCGGGCCCGCGCCTGGTTCTTAGAGCACCAGCCCGAGCACATGGATTTCATTGATCTCGGGAGCATCCTTGTAGGGGGCAACCGGAGTTTTTGGCCGAACCGGATCACCGGGGACCACACCGCCCACTACGGGTTTGAGGCGCGGGCCCTGGGGGGCCAGTTGGTGGCTGATGCGCTGCACCGGAGGCAACAACGGGATGGGATCGATTGCGTTGCGGACCCCGAACGCTGATGGATCCACAAGGMTGCCGGCAGGAGGGGCAAAGCGCAACAACCCCTAAGAGGGCACGCCACGGCGGGGCTCTGCGCCGCAATAGTTGCGATTGCGATCTAGGTTCAAGCACCTGGAAACCTTGTCCCACTCCGACTTGAAGGCATTGCCTASGACGAAGGAAAAAATACTCTCGAGCATGAGYCACCATTTTCTCCCAAGTACTTTCCCCCATACGCAGAGCCGACGCTTGTCACACAGCTGCTAGATCTCCGTTGCGTCTAATAAAACTGTACCCAGGCTTCGTRAGCAAGGCAGCCCATTCGTGCCCGGGAATTTTCGACCTTGACGGATTCGGTATTTTGAAGAATGGCCCACTTGAATCGATTGTCGATATTTTGAGATTTTCTAGCTAGGTTTGCAATATAAATGTTTCCTACCACTATTTGTTCATACGAGGATGACAGAAGCAGTATCAATAACAGTGGTATTATACCACACAATTAATCTTCATGCTTATCTTTGAACCCATATAGATGCATCTTACATCTTGTTAGGGTCGAAATCGGCCTGCTTTTTCAGCGTACCGGGACGGAACCATTCGGTGAGTTCAAATACGTCCTTCCACTCGAGCTTTTCCTTCGATGCATCCTCTTTCGACACGCCRGCCSTGGTGGCATCGGTCGGGCACGTGTTGTCGATTGTCACCATCTGTTTCGGATCGAGGCCGGCCTCCTTCAGAACAGCGTTCACCGCGCTCTGGATGGCGGGKCCGTCGGRTCCGGTGAGAGTGTCTTTTTCTTTAGTGTAAACAAAGGCTCCGTCGTAGGGRCCCTGCTGAGTATCTCCGATGTAGGCCACAACCCKCCAATCAGGGCTTTCTCCCTTCCCCAACACGTACCATTGCTCGTGGAAGGTCAAACCGAACATCTTTCCCTCTACGGTCATGCTTGCTTTGCCCTCGGGGCCTTTGCTGTTGGCCATACTTTCCACGAAATTGTTTTGCCAAGATCCGGTGCCTTGTCCCTCGGGCTTGGGCACCCGAAACAGGATGTCGTTGTCGAGTCCTCCATCGGCCCGTGGCGTAAAGGTATTTATTTGGCAGGGATATGTATCGTATTTCGGGTTGTATCCCTGAACCTTGTACCACTTGCCCTCTAGGTCAGCGGGGGTGAATTTCTCCATGGCCTTTGTCTGTGGTGGGTCCTTGTAAAAACTCGATGTGTCCTGCTTCACGCCTGTGGTAACACACTCCTTCTCTTCGAGGGTACAGCTCAGCCAGTCGTTGAGTTTTTCAGATCCGAACCGCGCAAAGCATTGCGTAGCGCACAGCTGCTCGCCACGGCAGTTACCGAGACAGGTGATGCCCTTGAGACAGGAGGGGTTGGTAAAACACGCCTTGGATTGATCGCCGCACTGGTCGAAAAAACACTGGGGGTCCGTTTTCATGACACCACCCTTGGCAGCAAACTCCTCGAATCCAGCAGACGGCGGTGCCATGTCTTCGACGGCATACGAAGCAGGTGGGAGTGCTCCTCCGAATGCGCTTGCCAGAAAAAGACTGCCGCCCAGGAACATACTCGTCAGATCCCTCTGCCAATCTCTTTTGATCAAAGTRCTTTCTTCGAAATCGTTGCCAGCATTTTTTCCTTGTTTCATTTCCATGATGACCGCACCATYAGTTCGAATCGGGTTTGTGCTAGTGTGGTACTGAGACTGGGGGGYATTTACAAATCCGTGTGCCGATGGCAAGGAATTCATAGCACCTAGTAAGATGCACGTGGTCGCAGATGCAAACATCACTGCYTGTGGTGTTCTAGTATGCATTTCGTTGATTGCTCAGAATTGCTCAATYGGAATACGCTACACACAAAGGTGATACTCAGATGCAGATGATGCTGTCAAATTGGTCTTGATTTCCAGCTTGTGCGGTGATGATCGAGGAATTWATCTATTGAACTCACTCGGAGATAGAAGGCCTAATGGATGTGTTGTCAAGAAAAGAAAGCTGCTGGTAGAGGTACGCATGAAGAACATAGCAAACAAACAAAAAGTGTCTTCAACAGCCAAGAAATACAGGAATCTTACGGTATCCAGACTTGATACGTGATGGATGCCGATGAAACGTGTAACTCTSATCGTAAATCCGAAGTTGCAGAATACGCGCTGCGCGAAAACTGTCGAAGGGTTTAGTCACYAAATTTCGATTAGGGTGCGAGATAACTGCTTTATCGCCCGTCTAACCACATTAGAACGCATTCTTCCTTCTCCAACGAAACCTGCCGTACCGGCACCAGTAGCGTACAGTACTGTACTTCGTGCTTGGACTGTATGGTTCAAAACAGCGATTCGTACGAGGGGTACGTCAGTTTCAAGGGGAATTTGTGCTTGCGGCTTGAAGATACATCGCATCACTCTACATGCTGCGTATCCCCTCTCAAAACACACGAAGAATGATCGCATCGGCTCATCACTCAWGGAATTGAATCACAAATTCACCTTTCCCGTGTCACAAACAAAACACAACAATTAGATCAAAACAAACAACCAGCCCAACACAAAAACAATTAACAACCATGACCAAATCGTCGCAGCCATCCGGATTTGTGGGCACCCTACTTTTGCTGGTGGTCGTTCTTTGCAGCAGTATGGCATCTGTCAGCGCATTTGTTGGTGCCCCTCGATGCGTGTCGCAATCCTCCTACAATTCTGCCCTTGCCATGTCGTCYGACGATGAAAATGACCCCAATGATATTATTGCCAGACGGATCGTGGTTGAAGGAGACGTTCAGGGAGGATACTACCGCTCGTGTGTGAGAAACGAGGCAGGACGATTCCGAAGATTGTGTGGCACCATGACACCTCCGGATGATTCGGGAACGGCTGAGATTTATGTCGAGGTGTGTTCTCTAATGGATTTTACCAACCAACCAATCGCGGTCTGATCCAGATCTATCACTCTGTTCTGAAATCCWTTCGAAACTGCGAATTYTTGTTTCTTCGACGGCGACGATCTTCGCCTAGTGCCTGGCGTGGTCTTCGTCGCACATTATGATTGTGATATTTTACCAACCGTGGCTTGTTTTTTTTTTATCTGATTTCAACTCTGCAGGGCAAAAGGAAAATGGTGGATGGCTTTAYGAGATGGTGCAAAAAGGCAGAYGTCGGTTTGAGCCAACAGATTGCGGTATCCGACGTCACAGAGGAAGATCCYACTGGCTTGTACGACGACTTTTACGTCAAGGTGCGAGATTGATGAGATTGCTTCCGGAAATTAGTAGGGGGTACTCAAATACRAAAGTATATTGAATCCGATGACCRATTGGTGCTTAAAAAACAACAATATGCGAGTTCCTTGTTGTCGGAGGTGTTGTTGATKCAAGAAAAAATGGAGCATTTAGATTCTTTTTWATTGTCTTYCGAGAAACAATGTTCTRGMGGTAGTGAATAATTGGTTGTCTTCATAGTTCGAGGATTACATTTCATGATTTCAAATCTRCTGCTTTGGGTGTATAAAATGTGYTCAAAKTTCTTGTAGGATGAAAATGGTTTGCTTTGATGCGTTCACTTACAAATCATAATGCACTAGCGAAAACTAGAAACTTAGGGCACTAGCCTATGAATTTTGAAAGCTATGTTGGCCGCGGCTCTCACGCTATTTTCGAATCCTATTTGCTCGTCGAAGCAATGGTACTATGCTGTACTTATTCGTTCARTGACACCACCAAAACATGGAATGCTTTGCACCGTTTTAATTGATATATTTTATTTTATTTTGCTGCTCTTGCGTCCGATTGGTGACACAAGAATCATTGGTTTGCAATAATTCCGTTCCATACCACGGCATAAACTAGCTTAGTAAACGTGCTACCCATTGATACAGACCACGGGCCATCACAACCGAGRCGCTTAAATGAGCTAGCGATTTAAAATAAAAGAAGAGATTTTTGAAAGAATACAGCTAGTTTGTAATAATTCATCGTTCCTAACACGACTCGATGGACACACACAAGATGGTATCAGAAGAACTAGATTTAAACCAGATATGTTGGGGCTCTGGWAGGATAGGATAGATTGTTTGTTCATTCTTTAGCTATTCGATTCAGCAAATGCCTTCGACGCTTTCGATGTATTTCAGACGGACTTTCCATGGGAGACCATCCTTTCGTTATTGAATCGAAAGCGCAAAATGCTTCCCGCCAATTGCCACATAGGCTACCCAGTACACGAATCGGTTCTACTTTTGTTTGGAGCGACCAATTCAAAGATCGCCACCAGCGATTCTMCCAATGTCTTGGGGGCGGCCATTGATCAACCTTTGCACTAGCTTATTCCCTTCGTATTTTTCTTCTATGCGATTCCCGTCCTTCTCCATGGATTGAATCGTTATTCTTCGACCATTTTCTATAATGGTTCTCGTGCTTTTGGATGTGTACGAGCTCCTTGAATTGCTGTAGGTCGACGACGACGATGAAAAGGTTCCATCCCTATTCGTACGGGTGCTGGTGCTGCTAGTAGTMATCTGGACTCCGAGTTTGTCGAGCATCCATTCGCCCCAGCCCTTTGATTTCGTGTTCGGATGGCCGCCATTCCTTCTCTGCTGAAARGTCTTGGAGAACAGGTCGTCCATGCCTCGGAATGATTCCGAAAAGAAGGGATCGTTGCGGAAGAGATCGTCGAACTGGGCGAAGGGATCGCGGTAGCGGTGGCGATGGTTCGTGTTGTATCCGCCGTGGTAGTTTGGACGACGACCTTGCCCCGTGTTGCGGTTTCCGTTGGCACCGTATCTCAGAGAATCGTCGTACTCGGCTCGGCTCTTTTTGTCGGASAGCACTTCGTACGCCTCCGAGACCTCTCGGAACTTCACGGTCGCCGATTCTTTTTCCCCGACCGGAACGCGGTCCGGATGATACTTCAGAGCCAGCTTCCTGTAGGCTTTTTTKATGTCAGAAAGCTCGCACCTGTCGGGATCTTCGATGCCGAGAACCTCGTAATGGGTTTTTTCTTTKGATTCATTGCTGAGTCCATTCGACGAGGAGGGCATCGTGAACAGCAGAATCAGGGTGGGTACGGCGACGAAAAKAAGGCTTCGAAAAAATCGCATCTCCTGTTGTTGGATGGTGGCTTGATTGATACCTTGATTATAGTGATGCTCACGTTGATCGGATGCTCTTCGCTTGCCCTGAAATGTAGCTATCGTGTGCAGTTATTTTTCAGCTGATATGGTCGTTCTCGATTGTTGGAACGGT